CAGAGGCCCTGGGCTTTCAGCATTTGCTGAAATCCGAGACTCGGTGCACTCCAACCAACTGGCGTGCTGCAACTGTATGAACCCCACTTCGTGAAATGTTGGCACAGAGGGCTCTTGTTGATTTGCTGGCCCGCCTTCACTTAGGGCGGGCATGAGGCTTGTTGGGGCCTTAGCCCAGAACATGTACATCATGGCAAGGCCCCTACTTGAGGGCTCAATCCTCACACATAATACCAAAATAATATTAAGTAATAATAATAAAAAATAATAAATTTAATGTGTAATGTAGACTAATATTAATAATAATTTTAATAAAATAATGATAAAAATTGTAAAATAACTAGGCTACCAGAGTGGGCCGGGTCCACTTGCCTGGCCGGGCCAAAAAGAAATAAAAAAATAAAAAAGAAAAAAATATTTTTGATTAGAATTTTGTTTTAAATTTGGTAAAGAATTTCGATGTGAAGCAGAGGCAAATCAGCAAAAAAAAAAGAGTCAGCTTGGTGCGTTAGCGCAGCGGTAACGCTGCGCTAACGTTACCGCTGCGCTAACGCACCGCCCCAGTGGCAAGCGTTCGGGCGTTGGGGGATCGCTCACGGGGTCGACAACATCTGTCTGCTTCAATTGCTAAAACTTGGCGCTGACGGGACCATGGCGGCGCAGGGAAGAACACTGGGGTGTTAGGGGGGCGTGCCGAGGGAGCTGTGATATGCTCCTGGTCGTTGCTGGTCTCACTTGACTTCTGTCAGGAATCCTGGTTCGGTGGAGGAAGGAGAGGATGATACGTGGGGGCCATCGGCGGGTGGGATCCGGACGCTGCACCATACCTGATGAGACCGATCGGGGGTGCTGACCCCTCGATCTTTGATACGGAGGTTTTTGCGGGGGTCTCCTGCCCTGACACTGTTGCCAGGGTTAGCCCGCAAAGGTGAGGAAGACAGGAGCAATGGAGATTGCGGACTTCTCATGTTCGCTGCACAGCGAGGGTACGTGGGGATTTCGCATATGATCTGCAGCAGGAGCACACATTGACTTCGTGGATTGGGCGTGCTCACCTGTCGTTGCCCGTGTTAGGGTGTGTGTGTGTGTGTGTGTGTGTGTGTGTGTGTGTGTGTGTGTGTGTGTGTGTGTGAGAGAGAGAGAGAGAGTTACACATTTGGGTTGATCAATCGTAGGTTTGATTTCCATCTTTTTGTGATAGGATTTGGTTTCCGTTTCGCTGTTTGGGTAATAGTTGTAGTAATTAGTTCCGATTGTGCAGCGTTTTGCATGCGATGGAATGAAAGAGAGAGTGCCGCTCTGTAGAAACGTCACTATGGTGGGCAGTGGGGTTTCCTTGTGAGAAGGTGCAGATTAGTGGAAGTGGTTTCCCAAAATCGCGAGGAGGCGGGTGGATTTGCGGGGTCTTTGACCCCTGCCGTGCGGGAGGTAGGGTATCCGCTGAGACGTTGAATTTGGGTCAGATATTCATTTCATCCTAATAGGCTTCTGTTTGCTGTCATCTGAATTCTTAAGGAGAAGTGGTGAGCATTGCTCCACAGGGGATTCGTCATGGGGGGAGGGGAAGCATCCGTAGGGGGTATATGCAGATTGAGGGAGAGGCTTACCCTAAATGGCGAGGAGGTGGGTGGGTTTCGCGGGGCTTTTAGCCCCTGCTGCGCGGGAGGTAGGGTAATCCCGTGGTTAGTGAAAACGGCGTCGTGGTGGGAGTTGGTGTTTTTGTAAAGAAGAGCGTGGGGAGGTGCTATCCGCTTTGAATCGCGAGGAGGTGGGTGGGTTTGCGGGGTCTCTGTCAGCAGTTGGGGCCTGAGGGCACACACCCCTGCCACGCAGGTGGTAGGGCGGATTGGCAGGGGTTGGTAATAACTCCAGATGAAAGGTGGACACGATCACGCAGGGCTGATCGATCGTTTCTTATTTGTGGTTTTGATTCGTTTTTTCCGGTTTGTGGAATTTAGGTCACTAACTTAGGGTTCACATGACTATTGCGATTACGTTTTTAGTGACGAACTCTAGATTTTCTTAGTATTTTCATTTCTTAAGGATAATTTAGATTGTGATGATAATTTTTGTTGACTTTTTGAGTTGTTGGGGCTGTGGAGTTGGCTGCGGGGTTAGATCTAGTGGTGTCCTCAGTGTGTTTGGCCGATGATGCCTTGCCCACTGAGGGCCCCACGTAATTTTGTAAGGGACGCCGGGCCCGGTTCCCGACTTTTATAAAGACATTGTTCCGTCTAAAAAAAAAAAAAAAAAAAAAAGTTGTTTTTTTTTTTTTTTTGCATAACCTACTTTTTTTTTGGTTTTTTTTTTTTGTTTTTGTTTTTTTTTGTTTTTGGCTGGGACCTTCCCTAGTCCTTGCACGGCCGGCCTGCCCGGGAAAATAGGGAGACCCGGGTGGCCCGGCTGGTAGCCTAGTAAAATAATAATTAAATAATATTAAAATAAATAAATTTAATGAATAAAAACTAATAAATAATAAACACACGTAAAAAGTAAAAGTCGCAAATGACAATTTTTCGTAAAAAAATGAAGGACACCGAAAGGAACTAAAAAGAAAAGAAAATACTATAAATACTAGGCTACCAGAGTGGCCCGGGGTCACTTGCCCGGCC